AAACTTGTAAACAGTATAATTTTCTTTTTCCCCTTTACACTGTTTGTTTGAACACATGAAGTGAAGTATAGGGCACAATTGGAGAGCTGTTTCTCAGTCAACATCATACAGATTTCTGTTACCTTTATGTTGTTTTATTTCACCTCAAACATTTTAAATTCTCTTTGGCCCTGTCACTTTAAAAAAAAAAGTAAAAGTAAAATTTCTGAGATCAGTTCTTCACATGAAACTAATAATTATCTCACCATATTCCTTAAGTTTTGCAATATGTTGCATATCATTGGTCTCATCGGAGGATTCTGGTCGTCTTTCCTTCCCCCGCTCCCAAAGTGAGCAATGCTAGATTGGATTTACTGGACACTGAAAGCTTCTGTGTGACGAACAGGTACAATGAGGGCCATGGAGGCTTCCCCATTGTACTACCATTCTACCTCCAACACTCCGAAGGGTTTACTCCTCCCTAACAATGTCAGTAGTTCTGCTCCAGGCCACTGTATTGTTTGAAATAAGTTGGAAGACTCCAAGATCCTATGTGGCGATGCAGGGCTCTTATGTTGAGACATATTGATGTCACGTATTTAAACAGCGTATAGAGAAGTAGGGTGTTTATCACTGGGTCATACTGACTGGTGAACTCCACTCCAGCTAGTTATAACTGGATTTGGAATATCTTTTGAGGCAGAGGAGACTGGGGGTTGAGCAGAGGGAAACACTAGGATCAGCCAATTTTGTGGAGAACTTTTAAGCTCAGATTTATGTTCTGTTATTGTTTAAATGAAGTCACCCCCCCCCCCCAGAAGAGGGTAAATTTGGATTATTATCTGTTGCGAGGTTGGATCTCTCCCTCAATGTGCATTCTTTAACTTCATTCTTCAACTATCAGAAGTGGTAGAAAAGGTTGTTTTTCTGATGTGGACATCTGCACACTAACAACTAGATCTAGGCCATTAATTCATTTATAGGCCATCAGTGACATGCAAATTAGGAACCACTTTTGATCACTACCTTCCTTTTATCAATCTATTTGCCCTCTTTCATTCATAACAATTACAGTAGAACTTCATTAATTTACACATCCATACATCCAGGAAGTTATGCACAATAAACCAATGGTCTCTCTCCACTTCTCTCCACTTGTCAGCCAATATTTAAAAGCAGGATGATATACTTAGGTCTCGTATTACCAAGACATAATTGTTTTCTCAAAGTAGAACAGAAGAATTATTCATCAAAAATTTGAAGTATTAAATTAAATAATTACAGCTAAACTAGTTTTATAAAATAACTGTACAAAGTAAATTTTGTGAGGCGCTATTCTTCCTTTGTTATTGTCTGTTCATTTACTTGCTAATTTGCAAAAGCATTTTCTTATCTATTAGTGCAAATCCACTCTACTTGATTTCTGCTTTTCAGTCTTTAATTTAAGGTTAAAATAAGGTTAGCTGTCTGTGTACGAATGTACCCCAATTGTTAAGCAGTTCAGCTGTCAGTTTACTGCACAATATAAAAATGTAACACTTTTTATCTTGTAACACTTAAATTCAACTCTGACTCCAGTAATCTACAAAATATATATAATCTACACAATATATGTATGGATTTTTATGTTTCTAGTTGAATATATATTCAACTGGAAATACAAAAATCTATCAAGTTAGTTGGAGACCTGGAAAATGTTAGCCCTTCAATGAATAACTCAATACAATTTAAAATGGAAATGGAAAAGAGATGGTAGACTATTCTGCAATGTAATAATAAACATTAAGGGGGAAAAGAGAGTCTTTAACAACAGACAGAAAATATACTATATGGTATGCATACAAATTCATATTTAGACTAAAATATGAATTGCAGTCTTCTGATGGCTTACATGATGAGCAGCTTGTCTTTCCATGAATTAACTGTGCATTTGGGGAATTCAAAAGAGTATTTCTGAGTCTGTTGGTGTCAAACCAACATCTTACTAAAAATTTAGATAATTTGAGACGTTGACAGAGTGGATACCTACACTAAAAGATCACAAATTTGGTTTTATTTAAATACTGTCTTAGCATTAGGAGAGTTTTACTCTTCAAACATTACACAGTATAGTTGTTTGAAGATGTCTGTTTTTCTAAACTAGATGGTTAAAAACAATGCTTAGATATACTAAATTCAATTTAAAGTTATAAAATTCAATTTATAACCAAAATTACTTGGCAAGCATATGAATTGTCGGAATGCTGAGAAAAGTGGGTGCAGCTGTCTTTTTGGGTATCCTTTCCATATGCTGTCCAGTGTATTTTCAATGATTTTAATAAGGCATTTAATAAAGTTTCTCAGAGGAAACTAGTGAGTTATGCAAAAACAAATCTGGTGTCCTAATAAAATTGGTGATCTGGATTGAAAGTTGGCAAACTAGCAGGGTACATAGGGTCATAATAAATGGAATCTGACCCTTTTTGAAGGCTGCAAGTAAGTTTTCACAGCGCCAGTTCTATTTAACTTTTATCTAAATGATTCAGAAATGGGAATGAGATGTATGGTGTCCAAATTTGCAGGTGATCACAGAAACACAGGTGGCGGGTGGTAGGCACTGAGAAGAGTGCTGCTAAACGGTGAAAGGAATTAAGCACTGTGGAATTTGATGGTAATAAGTGCAAGGTAATAATTGCTTCTGAAGGGAGAAATGTTTGCAAAAAATACCTTAAATAATGTATTAATGGAAGCTGAGGTGGGGAGAGGCTATAGTAATAGTATGCAGGAGATTGAAGGTAGCGACTCAGTATGTGGGATCAGCAGCAAGAAAGGCTAATAAGGTTCCATGGTGTATAAACGGGGATTAGGTATAAATCAAGAGAGATAATAGTTCTACTCTGTAAAGCCCTTGTAAGACTACACTTGGAATACTGTGTCCAATACTGGGCTTTGAATTTAAAAAAAGGTTATTCTTTGGAAGGTACACAAGAAGTCAACAAGTCTTATTTGGGGATTAGGAGGTCTGTTTTGTGAGAAAAGGTTTTAAGAGTGGAACATGGTTAGCCTTGAAAAAATGAAGAGTGAGAGGAGAGTTGATTAGAGTAAGTATTTAAAGGGTTCCTACTGACTGAGACCTTGAGGAAAGACCTGTATAGATTACAAAAGGATGGCATAATAAGAGCTCTCACTCTGAATTTGGTTAAGGATAAGTTTAAGAGGGAGTGGGGGGAGAGATGTCATTTCCTGAAGACAGCAAGTAGGCCGTGGATACTACTGAGAGAAGTGGCTGAAGCAAGCGTTATTGACAAAATTTAAGAGAAGCACAGATCTTTATTTGGAGGGGGAGGGGGTGGTTGATTTCAGTGGACTTAAAACCAGCCTGTACTCTTCAAGAGTAATGGTAATGGCAAAGCTCCTATTGACTTCAACTGGACCAGGATTGCACCCTAAGTCAATTATGAGATATTTCTGCTGCAAAGCAGATTTCTTTTTTCTCTATTGGAGTCAGGGAATATATTGGTGAACCAAAGGGAGAAGCGTCTGCCACTTGACTGTGATTCTAGAGTTGTGATTCTAGACTTTCTGTCCTAAGTCATTTATCAGCAGAATATGCAAAGCCAAAATTTGAACCCAACAGAAAAGGTACTTTCAGACAGAGGGCAGTCAGTTATGTAGGAAGACAAAACCCAATGCCATAGAGGAGAATTGCTGTAATCTACTGGTAGTTTGGCTAATAATGATACTGTGCATATGTAATATATACCTGATATTCTGGTAGCAATGAGTTCTTTCATATGTTATGCTTATAAGTTTATCTAAAGCAACGAGTGATCAAGGACATATAAGATAAATATAATTGGAGATTTGTGTCCTGACAAGCAATAATGACTTTCAGTTAGCAATACCTTTTAATCTCATGTATTAATGGGTCCATTTACCTAATTACTTTTTTTTTAAATGAGATTTCTGGAAGTACCAGCTATTTCCATAAATGATGTTTCAGCACAAGAAAATGAGAATTTACTGGTGTTTCCTTTCTGGAAGTAAGGAAGTGATTGCAGGGGTCGACATTTAAAAAAAAATATCAGCATTCACTACCATTTAGTAACATCTGAGATGCCAGGCTCTCTCTTTTTGCTGAGCATGTGAAGTAATTGCGTGGAATCTCTTGTCAAATGTGGACTTACTAATGGAGGTCACAGTATTCCTAGAAAATGTACCACATATAGTTCTGTAACCCAGCATTCCATCGCTCATATCTACCAAGATATGATGGTGCAGGGGTGGGGGTGAGGGGTCTATTTGGCTATTGAGATTATTTTTCCAATAAATCTTGTGGTTACCATTAAACAGAAATAATAATGGAAAAGATTAATATTATTCTCTTATTCTTGTGACGTATTATGGTTAGTAGGACTGAGAGACATGATCTCTATTTGAAATTGGCTCATGGCCTTAGCAACTTGTGTTAAGGTAGGTTATTGGGTTTCTTTTCCCTCTCCCCTTAGGATGTATGGGAGGTAAGATTTGTTCTAAATGGCTCATTTTCTGTAAATCAGTATTTTACCAGTCTGAAAAAATCTGTTTTTTATTAGTCTGTATGAAAGAACGTGTAATCACTATATCCCTAATCCTTCGCTATGCATATAGGAAATACTCATTGAATTGTGGTGGCAGTGTGTCCTAGTGGCTAGAGCATTAGATTCGGACTCGAGACCTAGATTCTATTTCCAACTCTGCCATTGGCCTGCTGGGTGACCTTGGGCAAGTCACTTCACCCCCCTGGGCCTCAGTTTTCCCTGGGGAATATGGGAATAATGATATTTATCTCCTTTGTAAAGTGATGAGTGATGTCCTGATGAAAAAGTGCTATGTAAACAAGAAGTAGGCATTATTATTATAGACTTCACTAGGAGTCTTACTTGTTTTTGAGCTGTAGCATTTGCCTCTAAAATCCCAACAATTTTACAATAATTACATGTAATATATCAGGTTTTTTTTTAAATGTGTAACCTAGTGCTTCTTTGTTTGTTTCTTTTTAGATGAACTTACAAATTCATCAGAAACCAGATTGTCTTTAGAAGATCTCTTCAAAAAAGAGTTCATAGTTCATAATCCAGAAGCCAAATGGATAAATGGTATGTGTATATATTAGCAAGCAGTTTGAATACAGATAGAAGCATTTTTATGATGAACCAAAACACTGTCATTAGTGAAGCCATGAAAAAGTCATAAACAACCACTGGTTCATTAGAAGTTTTGTCGTGTTTGCAGTGTGTTACTGATTTTTAATATATACTCTATATGAATATCTGGTAACCAAGGTATTGTGTTAATGCTACATATGGAAATTGATCCAGATTACCTCGGTCATTATTGCATGGTGTTTTTTAATTGTACCAGCAGTTCCACATCACTTGTGAGAACCTTTATGAATATGCAGGAACTCTTTTGAAACTGAACCTTGTCTGTGGATTCACAACAAAATCAGGCCATTGAAAGAAAAGGTTTATTCAGATCTGAACTTCACGGTGTGCAAATGGTTCTGACACATAACATATGGAAACACATTTCAGTTTGAACTTCAACATATTTTTACAGCTCTAGTTATTCTCTGATGCCTGTGCATTGTATTTCAGGTTCTGTTTGTTTAGATGCTTTAGAATTGTGCATAATATTCTAAAAATAATACATAGTGTTAAGACTCGTATCGCCTGAAAAAGCCTTTGTCATCTAATTGAAATCTTTATTATGATTTTTTCTTGATCAGATACAATGTTTTACATTCTTTCTGTTAGCAAGAAATTTTCAAATAACACTGTGTCCTTCCCCGTCTTTGTGTCATCATAATTGTGTAGCATTCAAGGTATTATAATCAGAGGAATAACAATAGGCTTTGTGCAAAATAAAGTATTTGAAGAAGAATTATGAAAATAGGAAGTCTTGTTATGTGGTTGCAGAGTTTATAAGTTAAGTGTAATCAGAATGGATTATCCTTCACATTGAAAAGATAGATATTTAAAGATACCAAAGCTAGCTTCCATGGGGGAATCAGTAAGAATTAGAAACACCGATTGCCCAGTAAAAGCACTCTATAGAATTAACCTTGACAACCTTCTCTGGAGACTGAAGTGGAGTTGCATCTCCCAAGTGGAAATTCCTAGGTATGTTTTGCTTCAGGCAAGGGAATAGATGGGGAGGGTGGGCTCTTTCATGAAATGAAGCATGCAGTCACTCTCCATCTTTGAGGAACAAACCCTTGGTCCTAGTCCTGCCTTCCCCCTGCCCTTCCATTTATGGGGAGGTTGGCCTACACAGTAGCACTATCCTGGAGCAATTGTGTTCATGGGAATGCCAGGATTCCCAGTGCATCTATTCCCTGAATAGGTGCGCAAGAGAGAAGAAGGAGCCTTGCTTTGTCTCACCCTCCACCCTGCTTTGCCATGTTTGTCGCAATTCCAATTACCTTACTCTATGATTAAATGAATCTTCTCTATAGAATATTGATTAAGCCCTTCTCCTGTGCATGAAACTGAATAACTCTCTCATTCAAGCAAACACATGGCGCGAGCAGCC